AATCTCATAGCTTTAATTCCATCATACTTTGTTTCCTCAACAGGCTTTGGGCATTCTTGTATCTTCTCAGTTTTAATGCTAATTGTAGCCATTTTGAATCCCCTAACAACTGTACCATAAAAAAGATGAGAAATACAGTAGGTATCTTCAAAGGCTCTTGCTTTATTTCATCTGCAATTGCCTGTTTATTGTATCTATTCCTCTAGATAGGATTTAGAATGTGTCTAATTGTGTATTTAATTATATGCAACCTCATTTCTCTCATGATCTGTTATCAGCTCTTTTAGAAGACTCTTTTGCTGTGCAGCTCTTGGAAGCAAAAAGCTTTAATTTTAAGAGAGGAAAAAAAATAAAACTGACACCTTACTAACCTTGTCCTGGACTGTGGCAGGATAGCAAAAGGAAAGTTTGTCATTTTTAGCATGTAGGCAAAACCTTGCTTGGCCTAGTCTACTTTAGCAAAGATTGATACTGTTATTTCCTCCTTTTATCTCGATGGGAATTTTTTCAATGACAACTCCCTCACAGTAAAACAGATCAACTTTTTGTCAATGTGTTTTGTTTTCTCATTCTCTTAGTATACATAGCCAAGAAGTGTAAAGAGAAACAAAAGCAGAAATTCCTCAGACATAGCTGAGATAGAACTATTTCCCCTTCATACTAATTATAGCAATGATAAATAGGTAATTGTCTAACAGAAGACATGCTTCCCAGAGATTTTCCCTCTGAAATTAAAATTGGCCCTCTGGCGGTTATTTCTACCATAGAGCTCTCACATAGCTCCTTGAAATCATCTGCCAGCCATCTGCCAAAGCTTTGCTGTTATTGATAAGGCAAGAGAGCCACTGAAGCATGGAGGTTAAAACGTTGAACTAGAACTGAGAGGCCGCAGTTGCAATTACGACATCAGCCATGGAATATTACTGGGTGACTTTAGGCCAGTCATTTTCTCCTAATTCACTCAGGGAATTGAAACCCTCTGATCAGGCAGGGCATAAATCTAACACAAATAAATCTGATTTGTTTCTCTTAGGATTTGAACCGAAAAAAATACAAAAGTGTGAACACAAAAGACCAGGTGAAATATTCTGATTTCTTCAGGCATGGTCTGAGAAATGCCTTCCAACCAAGCTTACCATTGCGGGCAGAGGTTAATTTCATTAGTGTTGTGACAAAAAAATCAGAAACATGGACATTTGCAGATAGGGAAAAAGCCAATACTACTACTTATATAATCCTGGATTTGAGAGAAATATAACATGAGCATCTTTTGACTTTGTAGTCTCCTCCTTAAAGTATATTAAGTAATATCAAAGTATACACTGCTTTTTATACATTTCTTGAACTTTGGTAAACTTTTAATCAATAGGATAATGTAGATAAAAGAGAGGAAACAATGAGTGAAGGAATATCCTGATGGTACTTCGTGGATTTTGGGAAACAAGCTTTAGCTGATGAATGCTGATGTCGTAACAAAAGCTTTCGCCTTTAAAATGCCACAAGTCTCTTCGCTGCTTTTGTTGCCGCCGCCGAACACTTTCTCCAGCTCCACTTTGCATGCTCGTCCGTTAGACCAGGGCTTTTCAACCAGTGGTACATCGTCCGTTAGACCAGGGCTTTTCAACCAGTGGTACATTGGCACCTGGCAGGTGGTACGCGACCATCCTAGAAAAATGGTAGCGGGGAGGGGAATGAGCTGAACCTGTGGCAGCACCACACAAGCCTGAGCGAGAGATGACTGGAGCTGCAGGGCTGTCAGGGCTCAGTGGAAGCACCAGGATCAACGCCAGGCTCCAGTTGGAGCTCGGCGCTGATCCTGGTGCTTCTGCTGAGCCCAGAAGCGCCGATCAGCTGGAATGTTGCAGCCTCTCCAGGGTCTTGTGATTTACATTCAGATGCTTGGCAACTGATTCATATTTATGACGGTCACAGTGTCCCAGGGTCATGTGAAGTGACCAAAACCTGCTGCAACCACCCAGCAGACGGAGGGAATAAAAACCAAACACCCCCCCACCCCACCCCCACTGCCAATCCTCAACAGAAATGCTCACAATAATGAAAACCTCAGGCAGGAGGAAGAGCGCCGCCGGGCGGGCAGGCAGGTGTCTTGCTCGGCTGTGCCTTGGGGGGCACTTTTTTCAGTGCCATTGTAACTTCGAACAGTCACTAAGCGAACTGTTGTAAGTCGAGGACTACCTGTATTTCATCACTTTTTTCCTTTTTTTTTTTGACACCTTGCTAGGCGACTGGTGGCACTCGGATGTTGTCATATCCTAAAAGTGGTACAATGGGTGAAAAGGTTGAAAAGCCCTGCGTTAGACTTCTTCCAAAAACTGGCAATACAGCTGAACTCCTAATAACGGGATCATATCAAAGGCTTCCACTGAATTTCCGTGACAAACCCTTCCTACAAACTCCGCGTTAAAACATTAGCAATCGGATCCCTCCTTGAAAAGGAATCAAACTGCACTTCCCCACTTGCAGGAAGAGTGTCTCTTCCCGGTCATGTGATCGCATCTGGCCAATAATTATCCAGCGCCGAAACGGCCTAACCGCTTTCTCATTCACCATGGAAACAGTCACATTCTTCCGTTCCCCGTCTTCCTCGGCATCGACCCCTGGGCAAGTGAGCGGCAGCTTTATCTTCGAATCACAGAGGAAGGCGGGCCTTCAAGGTGCATCACGCCTTACGCTAGAAATTCGCAAAAGGTAGCCTGGCTGGGGGAGGAGGAGGTAGGAAAACGGGATGTGCAGGTTAGACGAGGAAGAAGCGACTTAGCCAATGAGCGGTCGCTTAAGAAAGGTGGAGGCGTGGTCTAAGGAACCGATTGGCATGGAGCCAGCCAATGCTGTGCAGCCGCGGCTTGGGCTCCACGTCGGCATCGGGGCGACCAAGATGGAGGCGCTGATCCTGGTAGGAGCCTGAGGGGCAAGAGAGGGGAGAGGGAGAATTGCTGGGGTGCGCGCCTGTTACCATGGAGACGGGCAGGTGGGCGGGGCGGAGCTAGTCGGTTGCTGCTGGGGTGCTTCTGGGCCTGGGCTTGAGCTCCTCTGGAGGAGTCCGGGCCCAGCCACCTGAGGAGATGCCGGGAGGCTGGGCGAGTCCATATGGCGGAGAGGGGACAGCAGGCTGAGGATGAGAGAAGCTCCAAGTGCTGCTTGACACATCAGGCAGAATGGTACAGAGCAAGGAAAGTTCCTGTCTAGTCTTAAAGAGATTCTCTGCTCAAGGCTGCAGAAATGTGAGGCAAGCTAGCTCTGTTTTTATAGAAAAAAGAATCCTGTGGTTGCTGTTCCATCTATGAATTTCATCAAGGAAAGGACAAAAAGCCATGTAAAGTCTTTTCGTTCCCATTCCACAGATGAGTAAAGTAGGACTTCCATTGAAGAAAAGCATTCCTGAACTCGGTCGTTCTTAACTGCTTGCTGCTGACCTGGTTTCAGGAGCAGGAGATTTTCCCCAGAAATATGTTTGATTACAGAACTGCCTCTTAAACCAGGAGGTTGTGAAACAATATTTCAAGGACCTTGGAACTTCTTTGGGATGAGCAGTGGTGCAAAACAGCTGGGTCTGAATGTGATCTGCAGTGTGCATCAGAGGCAGTCACGTGAACAAAATTCAGATGCTTGGCAACTGATTCATACTTATGACCGTTTGCTGTGTCCCAAGGTCAGGTGATCCCCTTTTGCAACCGTCTGACAAGCAAAGTCAATGGGGAAGCCTCATTTACTTAACAACCGTGTTACTAACTTACCAACTGCAGTGATTCACTTAATAACTGTAGCAAGAAAGGTCGTATAATGGGGCAAAATTCACTTAACAAATGTCTCAACAGAAATGTTGGGCTCAATTTTGGTCGTAAGTCGAGGACTACTTGTATAAAGTACAAAGCATATTCACTGTATTTTATTCATCTGATTCTGTTTCCATTTTGGAACATGTGCCCCTTTTAAAAGCCAATAAATCTTTGTCCCATGAAAGGTGTCTGCCCCAAACTTTTGAGGACATCTGGAGATACAATACCTTGATATCATAGGAAGACAATTGAAGTCTCCATGTTAGAATAGTACAAATTCAAAATAAAATATCCAACTCTCACTTCACAGAGGTCAAACAGCTACAGGACAGATACAAATACAAATGAACAATGGGAAAAATGTCCTGCTTAATTTCTTTCAATAACCTACACTGGAGCATATTAGAAAATGGTAATGCTGATCTAGCCTTTAACAGATAAGAAATAACAGCCCTGCTAATCTAGTCAAATCCAGTCCAGCATGTTATTTATTATAATGGTCAACCATATTCCTCTGATACACCACAAATTTTACGAAGAGTTCCACCTCCTGTTACCATCCATTGATTGATTAGTGATAAGAAACCTGACAACAATATACTTTCTGAAATTGAGCAAATAATCCTAAATGCACTTGTTGGGAGTATGTTTCATTTGAAATCAGTATCACTCTTGTTCTTTTCATAAGGGTTCTAGTGACAGTTGATTTTCCATGAGTATGCAGCACATATCTTGTAAAACATAGAACATTAAATGTTCACTGACTGCTAGCTAAGTATCTACAATTATACCAGAACATGGGTTATTATGAAATCACATTTGCATCTTGTATGTTTCTATTTGAAATTTTGGAATCCTGTTTAGCACAATCTTAGTTGAAGTCTTGACAGCTTCTAGAAATATATCCTGCTGAGAGTAACTTTCAGTTGGAATCTCTGTGCTTTATAAATTGTTTTATAGGTTTGGGTTGAAATCTTGGGGTACTCAATAAAGTCCCCAACCCTGTGGTGTTGGCCTTATTCTGAACAGTGGAGAACCAGTATGTATTCATCTCTTTGTCAGCCACATTTCAAATACATAACATGCCATTAATGCAAATACAAGATCAACAAGATACTCTGAGGTGCGTGATATTTTGTAGGAGCTGGAATGTATTTTCATGTTTGAAGAGAAAAATATTATGGCATAAAATTATAATAATAGATGGAATAATTTATAATTTTCAGCATTTGATAACATTTTGAATCTGCTCCTGGTATGACCAGCTACCTCACTAAAATTTATGATTTTCAAATTTTGACTCTTCTGCATCCCAATCTCTTTTTCTTAATATTTACTATGCTTGTAGTGAAATTAAAAATACCAGAATTTATCCCTGTGGTCTAATAACAATAATGCTGGGAAGGTCTGTTTTTTAGGGGGCAGCAGTTATAGTTTTCTAAAGCAGGCTTAGTAGATGTCAGACACATGAGATAATGAAACCTAAATATGTATCAGACAATGCCTCAAAATAATACAAAGGACATAGAATTAAAGAATGATAGGCCTAGGACAGTGATGGTGAACCTATGGCATGGGTGCCAAGGTGGCACTCAGAGCCCTCTCTATGGGCATGCGTGCCGTCGCCCCAGTCCTAGGCCTTCAGCTGGGTTTTATAAAACTTTTTTGCTTTAGGACTCCGCCGTCGTGTGCAAAAAAAAAAAAGGTTCAATCAATCAGTCAATTTCAACTTCTTGCGGAGGAAAAAAGATCTTGCAAAGTTGGAATTGATTGATTGAACTTTTTAGTCCACCCAGTCTGCCGTTACCACTGCAGCCAAGCCCACCCAATGGGCCACGCCCACCCAATGGGCCATGCCCACCCAATGGGCCACACCCACCCGGCACCCTACGATGCATAAGTGGGTTTTGGGTTGCAGTTTGGGCATTCAGTCTCTAAAAGGTTCGCCATCACTGGCCTAGGAATTTGTCTTGGAACTCATGGTTGGCAAGTCTTGGCAGTATAATTTAAGTATAGGTAAAATGCCTTTGAGTCAAGCTTGATTTTTGTTGATTTCATGGATGTAACCGTATAATATTCTTGGCAATGGGATGGAAGTAGTTTTCGAGGTGGAAGTAGACTTTTTTTTTACTTCCTAATATAGCTTGCAATTTGTTCTAGTGGTCTCCCATCTAAGAACCTGCCAACCCTGATCCTCCTTAGCATCCAAAGTAGGCAGGTGCTTCTACCTGCTATTGTTTGTTGAACAGCAGAGAATCAGAAATTCTACTGCAGATCTCTTAGTAGAATTTGTAAAATAGTGGGTTGTCTTGCTCTAGCTTAGGGGAACAGTAATAACACTGACTATAACAATACAAAAATTGTTTTGCAAAAAAAACCTAACCTCCTGATACTGGGAGTTCTTTTGGATAGAGATGATTTGATTTGTTTGAAGAACTAAGATGTTTTTTAATGATCTCACATTCTTTTCCCCTTTATTATTGCCAAACATTTATCTTTGCACTTGGGGGTCCAATTAAGATTTTCTGTGAGAAGCAGATAGGATAAGGTGCAGAAATTAGTGTTTCTTATGAATACCTATTCTAGCTGGCAAACTATTGAAGCATTAGTGGAATGTTGTAACATGGAATAGCTAAAATCACAATTATTTGCCAGATGTTGAAAATATTTGCAAAAATTTAAAATAATGTCACTCTTCTCATTTTTATTTCTAAATAATATTTTTATGGAGGATTTATGTTAGTAATCTGATGGATTTAATACTGTTATTTTTACATGACCCAATAAATATTCTGTGAATGTATCAATTTATAAACAAAAGCTGTTTGGAGTCATCCATAATATGGGAAGGGGTCCTGAGAGTAAAAAGTTTAAGAAATACTGCTCTATAGCAGTGATTCTCAACACGGTCCCTGTGGGCCCTTATGAAGTCATGCTGTATTGCTAGGGAGCCACAGTAAATTTCTGAGAGAACTATTCAAACTTAACAGCAAGGCATTTGTCATAATTCTCATATTTCAATATCTCTGCTAATTTCAGCAGCATAATAAATGAAAATGGCTACAGTTTATAGTACAGTATATGATACAGATTAATAAACAGCACAGACAGTAAAATACTTTGCACAGTTACTGTGAGGGATCACAGAGGGTAAATGAGACTCAGAAGGGCTCCATGAGCAAAAAAATAAGTTGAGAACCCCTCCACTGGAAATAGAAATAATATTCAAAACAATCATAATAGGTCAAAGAAATGGGACTGAAAATAACAATGCAATTTAAAAGAAGTGAGTGCATTTAATAGTTCCATGGTTTTAAAATAATTCGTCAACTGCAAACTTAAAATGAGCCATCAGTGTGCTGTGCCTGCAAAGCCAGCTAATGCTTTTTTTTAGGCTCTGTGAACTGAAACCTGCTTTGCAAATCACAGAAGCAATTGTTCTACTCTATTCTCCATTGGACCGACCTCACCTCAGTTATTGTGCTTAATTCTAGGTACTATGCTTTGAAAAGGATCTAGGGCAGTGGTTCTCAACCTGTGGGTCGGGACCCCATTTGGGGTCGATCGACCATTTCATGGGGGTCGCCAAGCAAAGCTGTCCGCCATTTTTTTGTCCGCCATTTTTTTCGTCCGCCATTTTTTTCCTTTTCCGGCGGGTGCCTTACCTCCCTTGGGCTGGGCCAGCTGGTGGTCGGCCTGCTCCGTCTCTGCCGCTTGCCAGCTACGCCTCGGCTGGCGCAGGGGGCGGAACCACGCATGCGCGGCGCTCCCGAGCAGGGAAAGTCCTCGACTTACGACCGGTTGGGTAGTCCTCGACTTACGACCGGTTGGGTAGTCCTCGACTTACGACCGGTTTAGTCCTCGACTTACGACCGGCTTAGTCCTCGACTTACGACCGGTTGGGGTTGCGGCATTAAAAAGGTTGAGAACCACTGATCTAGGTAAAAAATTCAGCAGGATCAGAGAAAGGCATGATCAGGGGACGAAAAAGTATAGGCTATGGAAAAAGACTGAAGGAGTTGGGGATGTTAAAAAACAACAAGGAGGGACATGACAGCATTCCTGAAATAGCTTGAAAGGATGATTTATAGAAGCAGCATAATAACTCTTCTTTCTC